TTCTTAAGTAAAAACATAAGGAGATTTCACACTATTCTCCACACTCTTACAATAAAGAGGAAAATGGATTTGTTTCTCTCTTGGATACCTGAAAGACATAGCCTGAGGACTGGGGCAAGAACTCTCTTATGTCCTTTCCAAAATCTTCCCTTACAAGGGCCTGAACATGGTCTGTTACCATCTTTGTGAACCCTGGACCTTACCCAGATCTAATGTGCTCACCAGCACTTGCTCTTTGGACTCTCCACCACCAGTCCCCCAGCTCATGCTTTTTTAAATGGACCTATCCAATGAAGGAATAAATCCTTTCAGCCCTGAAACTTGGAGCAGCTTCCTTGTATGCAGGAGGAGGGATGTGGAAGTGACCTTCTTCATACCTGAGGGGACAGAAGTGGAGATGACTGTACTAGCAGGAAGGAGGGGAGCAGGCACAGCCTTCCTTCCCCTCTTCGGGGCTTTTTCACTTCCTGAGACACTTGCCATGAAAAATGAGCACCAGATCAAGCCTGTTCCATACAATTTATGTGTGTCTCTCTCTCTGGGCAGCGAGCATCATATAATTTTTCTGTAGACCGAAGGCATGAATTTATCTTTCAGATGACTTTGTGCCAAAATAAATCTGGAGATAGCAATGTGAACGCACCGGTATTTATGTGGGATTTTTTTCTTTAAAGGTTAATAAAGTATGTACTGGAAATAAAATAAACTAAAAAAAATACCTAATGGGTGGTTTAGGGAAAAATGCAACTCTTTTTCTATGTCTCTCCCATGTCTTACCCTCAAGGAAGGTTTAGGTAGGACATTGGCTGGGACCTTATTTTCATTTCCATTGGGAATGTTTTTTATCTGGCACACAAGCTACATGTGTAAATAGCCCAGGAGTTTGGGAAGCTGCTTTACCATTTCCTCCTATAACTAACAGTGGAAACCCTTTGAGAACTGTATGAGCCTCAGTGGACATTCACATGTCTCCTGACATGGGGGTTGGCTGCTCTGCTCAAATATTTATCCTGACAGCGCTTCTCCCTGAGGAGCAGCTTGCTGCCTGCTCTACAAAGCAGGCCAGCTGCAGGGGAGAAAGGCTGGAGCTGCCAGTGTTGAGGTGCCCAAAGAACTGGGCTATGAGGAGAAAATCTGCTTTACAGATAGGGTTTGGGCTGATCTGAGTTTATTCTTCTACAGTGAATTCAGCATCATACTAAAAAAAGGCAGAGCCATTGCACTGTATACAGAATTGGCCAATTCCAGCATATAATAGGTTAGCTCAGCACAGTTGCACTTCTTTGCCTTGCTTGGTGGGTTCTCAATTTGTCTTCATTTTTATTCCTGTCTCTACCTTCACTTTGGCTTTTTTTTTTGGATTAATTGCATAGAGCCTGCCCCACACAGCTAGGCAGAGCACAGACTGGTCCAGTGTGTATAGATATTTTTAAATGATCTGTCAACCAAAACCATGAAAACTCAGGCTCTCTTTGATGACAAATATTCAACTTACACAATTCTGAGAATTCCTTGTTGCGCATGGTTGACAGTCACAGAAAGATGAAACACTTCAGAACTGTGTCCTTAGGAATACAGACTTTATGGCATCTCTTCTGTGTTTACGGCCTGTTAGAAGAAAATAGGATATAGACAACTATCTGCATAAATGGGAAATTTATTTGAAAAAAGTTTTGAAAATGGGATCTATAATTTTAAAGCTGCATGTAATTAACTTCCTAAATCAGGTAGCCTGTTACAGCTCAGAGAAGCTTTTTACAATAATTTGTAAGTAGACAACAGTTGAAATAGAAACAGTAGCATAGTGTGGGGAACGTATTGTAGCTGCCCTTGTACAAAGCATTTCTATCCCTCCAACAGTGACCTCAGTGTTGCACGTGGCCTTGCTGAAGTGGCTATGCAGGACAAGATGAATTTTTGTCCCACTGGAAGACCCCTGCCAGCTTAGGAGAAGTTCCTTACTCAGCTCATTGAGAAACGTGCTGTTGTTGTTGGTGCCCCAGGAGAGATATGGGGCATTTTTGAGTGCAACTTGTGTCTCAAATTCAATTTGATGAGGAGCAGTGAAGAGACACAGCCAGTAGGTTTGACTGACTGAAACAGAGGAGTATCTGTAACATCCATGCACAAAGAGCTACAAAACAGGCCACTATGCTAAAACTTTCCTGCCAAAAGGTGACCCCTCAAATTTGGTGTGTGTCTGGGACTGACATCCAGGTATTAGGAATGACCAAACACAACCCTGGCTTTCATGGATTTCATCTCAATAACTCCACCAAGCCCAGTAGGGAGTATTGAAAATCCTGGCTCCTACAAATATAAATAATGAATACCTCTGGCATTTTGTCTAAGACTTTGCATCCAGTCAGAATGCATGACTATGTTCATTTATGGGTTTATATTTCATACTTTTCCATCTCTTAAGCCAATGGCTTTGCATGGCATATTTCACAGACAGGAAGATGATTTTTTGGCACCAAAGAAATGTGTGCAGCATGTAGAGGTCACTGAATATACAACTAAATTACATTTCCATTCAGGGTGGTATTAGAATGGCACCAGATAGCAGAGCAGGTTTAGTTCAGGAAATGAATGATACTTTATGTAATCAAATCTGCGAGGGAGATTTGGTAAGAAGGATGCATACCGACAAACTACTGCTGAGTCTGGACATGGCATTAAAAACATTAATTTTTAAGTTGTGGGGGATCACTCAAGATCTTCAGGAGAGGAAAAGGGCATATAACCTCCATTTATTTAAATCAGAGCCAATACTAGCAGAGACACTGACCCTAATACTCAGTCAAAGCATCAGGGCACTATTTATGCGTAGGAGTTAGAGCTACTTATTACACATGCAGAGGTCAGTACTGCAGGTACTGCAAGGTCCAGAGAGTCTTATTTAATGTATTTGTTAGGGAAAGGCAGTGAAGGCATGTTTTCACTTTGGAGACCTGAGTGGTCTCCAAAGAGACCAGCAGGGGCTCTGCTCCTAGCAGGAGGCCCTTTTTGAGCTGAAGTACACTGGTTACTTTGCACACACATAAACAACCATCTAGCCACCTAAAATCACATTTTAATGTGTTCTATCACCAGAATGTCTTCCTCAGGGAGGACCATTACTCCCACTCCTTCCAAACCCAAATTTTCTGTCAATCAGCTTAATTGTACTCAAACCTCAGTTTCAAAGCCTCACTCTCTAAAACTAAAGATAATCATGTTATCTGGGTAATTCCAACATATATACACCATATAAAAGCAAAGGGTAGTCCTACAGAAACATTTGTCTCCTGTTTCCCAAGACTGGGGACCATTATCCACATCAGATCAGTGTTTGCCAGCTCACACAGAGGATTCCCAGTCCTACACTGGCCACTTTTTATTTCTGCAATGTAAAGAGGAACAGCACAAATGAATGCTGTGTGCTCCTCTTGCAGTCGCAGGAGGAGGAGAATGGATGTGCTAGTCTTCTGACCTTCCTCACTTCTTCCAGACTGGAGAGGGAAAGACATATCTTTGAGGTTGCAGGAGAAAACTGTACCTGGAACATCCTCAGACAGCTGGCATTGCTCTGAAAGGCTGTCAGGAGAGGTTTGGCAGCCTCTACCCTTGGAGGTTTTCTGGATCCAAATAGATAGAGCCCTGAGTAACCCAGTCTGATCTCAGAGCTGACCCTACTTGGGCAGGGATTGGCCAAGATACCCCCTGGGTCTCTTCCAGCCTCAATTATCTTCTGATTCTATGAAAAAAACTCTGTTTCGATAGTATACAGAAGAGATGTTTGAGAAACCCGGGTCTACATTCATAAGATTTTAAAGGGAAACTCAAGGAAGACTTGAGTCAGACCCAGTCTGCACTGCCACACATGTAGAGTAACATCACTGAAATTAACTGATCTGCAGCATCCACTTGTCCCCTAGGTACTGCCTGGACCTTATTTTGAATTACGTGACAAAGTGGTTGTGCCAAAGAAAAGCAGATTTTCAGTGGTTTACAGCTGAATCCTCAAGAGTTTGGAAGGGCAGTTCAGGGTGCATTTGTAACTGCATGCAGAGAGCACGTGGTGCTTCAAGTCCGGGAGCAAACCAGAATTTTTTTGTTCTGGATTTGGTTCCATACTCCCACTACTGTCTCTGTCCACACATGGCTGCTGTGTGAGTGTGGTCTTTGGTAGCCTCCCCTAGAAATGCCTTGGCTTCAGAGGAGGTGCCTAATCAAGGACAAATGCAAAGGAGAGGAGAAGCAGGGCACCACCAACACCAGAGGTGCAGGGCTGGAGCATTTATGTTGTCCTGCAGACTCTCACCTTTTAGCCTAAAAATCAAGCACATCACCTTGACAGTATTAGGGGGGAGGAAATTTGGAGATTTGAACAATATTGTCTTTAAGTGGTGGCACGGCAGTAAGACAAGGTGCATACTTCAGGGAAAAGTACATTATAGTTTGGGCTTGCCTGGTAGGATTCTATGGAAAGAAGCAGGGAAGAACATGCAGTAGCATTATAACACACTATAGTATATCTTTCTCTATTTAGAAAGCATGTTCTGGCTGTTAATTTTTATGCTATGATTTGGTAGGCACAATTCATCAGAAATTTCGAGAAACTCTGCTTTCTCTGTCTCAAAAAAAATGCATGTATTTGGGCCTCTGCCCTTCAGATTTCAGAAATTCTTGTAATACAGATTTAAAGACAATAATAACACTACATTTCCAGCAGCAAGATTTCAAGAATCAGATGTCACCCCACCCGACCTCAATTAAGTCTGGCTGAATCAGCTGGATGGGATCAAGCAGGGTGTGAAAATCTGTATTCTAGCTCTGGGCAGAGAAAAGAAGACCAGTTGGAAATTTCAGTGTGAAGCTGGTTCTGTATGAAGTGGAGAATTTCAAGTGTGAATGCGTGTATGTGTTCGTGCATGTGCTGGGGAAAGTAGGGTTGGCAAGGGAGACAGAGGAGAGCTTTGTGTTCAGTGCTTCCTCTGACACAGCTCAGCCTGTTCCCTATCTCTCAGTTTCACTTCTGAATGTGCAGGAACATGCGGTGGCTCCTTGTTCCCACCATCTTCATCATCCCTTGTACGCAACAGGTAAGTTCATTAAAAAGAAGAAAAAGATTTCTCCTTCTTCACCTTGTTCTGGTTAAAAGTTTTTATTTGCTTAATAACAAATTAAATTTCAGAGAAGCAAATTCCTCATAAAGAATAAGCAGCCATTCCCTACGCTCCTGGGTAAATATCATTTGCATCTTATTTACTGCATCAGTCCTGATTTTGGTAATTTTTTCTCTCTGTACATTAATATGATTTAGTGGGAAAAGAAGTGTTAGGGAAGCTTAAATTGCCAGTGATCTTGCTTTTTTATATAAAAAAATATAAGCACAAATGAATATCTGATGCAGTAAGGAAGTAAACATCTATGTTGATATTTCTTATATGCTCATATTTTATATATCTATGTATATATGTGTGTGCAAGTATGTATATATACACACACAGTGGTCTGACTTCAGGCTAGTCTTACAAAGAGAAAGGCACCTGGGCTGTGTTATGCTTTGTCTCTTATGAGAAAATTTTAAGTGATAGCTTTTTGTAAAGGTGTTTGCTTCAAAGGCCAATTTCATTATTTATTTACTCACTCAATTTTGAAAATTTGTCCTTTAGGATCAAGATGAGTGTCAAATGGAGAATTTTCAAATGATTGTCTCCCTCCGTTAACTTTCTGCATATTTAGAGCCAGACCTAGAAAGCCGAACATTAGCGATAAATACACTGCCTACTTCTGCTATTTGCTTATTTATGCCATAATGACCTTATTCAATCTTTGACACATAAGAAAACAAACAACACATGAAGGGTTCCTACACAATGGTCTCATTTTCTGATCTGCCCATAGGATCAGGAAAAGTATGCAGGGGGCTTCTGTGATGTGAATAGCTTTGGTATAGAAACTCAGGGAAGCACAAACTAGAAAAATATTTGACTGTAAACTTTACAAGCAAACTTTACATTTTCATTGTAACTTAATAGATATTTGAAGATTTTTCAGATAAACCAAGGTTCTCAGTAATTCCACAGTTAAAACTGTCGGATATTTGCCTGATGGTGTTTTTTTCTTACTGGGGAACTTCGTAGTCTCACACCTTTCAGTTGACATCTTACCTTAAAAAAGGAGAGAAAAATCACTTAGGTAGAATTCTGTAGGTTTAAAGCATGCTTTAATTTGTAATACAAATTAAACATATTGGCTGAAACACAGATTACTTCCTGCTACACATACGCATTTTGAAATGTGGTATCTGATTCAAGCCACATAACCTCATATAGCTGGCATGTGGCCAGATTCTAATAATAATAATACTGATCTGCTTAAAAAGAAGAAAACAACAAGGAAGTGTTTCCTAAACTGACCATACAGTCTTGAATACTGCTAAATGTATAGGAACACCTGTGTGTCTTGTTTCCATAACGATCCTTCAAGAAGCTTTACATTTCAATGCACATGTTCATCAAATCAAAATTATGATTTATAGGAAATGCTTAGCTGCCTAGAAAAAAGTACATTTAAGTTAGTTGCTTATATATTACTGCTGCATTTAGGTAAAAAGGGTTAGGAGAAATCCTTTTGCAAAATTACACATTTATTAAACTGTCTTCTTCATGCTGCATGGAATGCCACACGACATTCTTTAATAATAATTTCCCATAAGAATTGCATGTGTAAATTAATATCTATCTTAAAAATCATTCAGCCAAAGGAACTTGAAAGCTACTACTTTGGAGCTTCATTAGTAACTGCGGATTAAGATATCGTAAGTATAGCTGTAAATGACCATGAAAAATGGAAATTAGTGGTAGAAAAAAGGCTTTTAAAAGGTCATTTACTGTTACACGCAATTAGGCTGGCTCAATTATGGTGTGAGAGCTTCCATGGGCTATGGCATACGAAATGCTGAATTCTGCAGCGATTTCCAGTTTGAAAGCTGAGCAGAAAGGAAACACAGCTGAATGACCCCTTCTTGAGCTTTCCCTCAGTATCTCTGCTGTAGGTGATTTCTATATCAGTAGAGCCCTGCAGTTTTGAGGAACAGAAATAGATGAGTTGGGCTCCATGTGCCCAGAAAAAAATATAGGCTACGTATTTTATTTTTTTTCTGCAAGCTTGATGGTGATATTGGCACCTGATGAGGGGCTGGATCTTGTCTTGCTCTTTTGCTCTTTGGGCAGTCAGAGCTGCTTCATGAGAGCTCACAGGCCTTACGTTGTATAGTGGCCAAGTGCTGTGTGTGTCTCCACTTAACTATGGAACCAGTCATCTGTGGAGAATAAATATAGCACGATCTGCATTTCTGCTGAAATCAGCAGCATGAAAAGATCTAATGCTAAGATCTAAACTGTTATGTTTTAGATGTAGTTCTTAAAAAATGCAGATAGAATGTAGTTGTCTCAAATAGATCCTCTGTGCTGACTTAACCTCCCCCCATGCCTCAGAAAAATAAACCCATCAAGAATTACTTAGGTCTTCCTTTACTTAAAAAAAA